GGGAACCTACAGCTCAGCTGCAGAGGAACCCACACACAGATCCTAACATTAGGCAGGGCCCCTGACCAACCCACCAGAGATACTGCTCGGAGATGAGCAGAGAAAAGATTTATTAGATGGAGGAAGTGCAGCATGCTCTGTGAGGAGAGATTTTCAAAACCAAGATTATTTAGTGTGGGGACTGGAGGACTAAGGAATACAAAACAACCAGTGGTCTTAAGAAAGGTCCATTGGTCACCCTTATCTCCCTACCCCCCTTCCTCTGTCCCATAGTATAAGGACAGGCAGGTGGGATGAAATTGCTAGGTAATACCTTCAAAATAGATTGTAAACAAACAGCTTAATTAGACAGGGAACTTCCTGCTCTCAAGTCAGTTGTCTGCACTTACCCCCAACCCTAGCAGAAACTTCTGTTCACTTCCAGATACCATACATCTGTAATCTAAAACATGGCGGATCTTCTCCAGGGTTTTTGAGTTGAGTGGTGTTGGTTTAAAACTAAAGATATCAATGTCTGTTCCCTGAAGTACAAAGGCAGGAAGAGAACAGTGTGTTACCCGATTACAGATACAACAATAGATGCAACAGCAAACAAAAAGCTTTGTGTGCATCAGGATGTGCCTTGATTTCAGCCACAGCTGTTAGCTACATGGGTGCAAATTCTAGCCTGGACACTCGTGAGACTTAGCCTGGTGTCAATTATACTAAGCAGGGCCGCAGAGGAAAAGCTAGCATCCCCAGCATAGACAAGGACGAGGAGAAATTTTACATCTGGAGAGACCATGAGCTCTTGCCCACAAAACCACTCACTTGTACTGAGAGGCTATTTCAATTTCCTTGCTGAGCCCCTATAGGAGGCACCAAGGAAGGAGTGTGAAGGGAAAAGAACAGGCCTGGATACAAAGCTATTTACCTGCCTTCTACAGAATTGGTGTCAAGGCCAAAGCTGTCTCTTAAATAAAAGAGGATTCATTTCACTTTCACGGTTTGTTTGTTGCAAGCAGCTAAGATGGCCTCTCTACTTCCCAACTACACCAATTGCTTCCACTGCTCTGCTACAGGATTAGAAAGGAAAGGAACCTGTCCCTTTTAGGCCAAAAGCAGCACTGGTTTGACAGAAGTGTGCCCAAAGGAGGGATCAGAACATGAGGGGAAGTGCTGCAAGGTCTTAGAAGACCCTCCAGAATATTCATAGCTCTGTCAAGGACAGGCTCTCCTATGAGGTTCCATTCTTCACCACAACCTCCTTTTCGAAAAATGAGTGTCACAATAGAGTAACTCTTCACTTATGGTTGTCCTGGTTAACACTGTTTTGTTATTAGGTTGCTGATCTATTGGAGGACATACTGCCTTGATCCTGCCTTGAGAGCGGGGGGCTGGACTCGATGACCTCTCGAGGTCCCTTCCAGTCCTATTATTCTATGATGCTATGATACTCGCTTAGAGTCGTGCAGTGTTCCATTATGAGGCTCGTCCTGCTCTGCCAACCTCACGTACCAGCTGGGGAGTGGGGTCAAGGCATGGAGGGGGAAGGGCTTTCCTTACTCCACCCAACCAGCATTCCAGGATCCATGGCAAACCCCCACACCTCAACCCTGCTCTCAGCTGGAATGCTAAGCGGGCAGAGCACGGCAAGCCCCTGCGCCCCAACTCCGCTACACCCAAGCTTTGCAAACACCACTGGTGCGTTCAGTATGAAATTGTTTGTTTAAAATTCCTCATGGGAATTCAATCCTACTGTGGGCTTCAAAGAACGTGCAAACTTCTGGTGTTCCTTCATTCAGGGCAAGACCTCCCCTGCCAAAGACCTCTTTATTCCCTGGCTCCCCTTCAGTGTCAGAGCTAATGACCTCAGGGTCATTAAAGAGACATCAGCTAAATCTGTGGAATTGTTTCTCAAATGATGTAATGGAAACCCCAATGTTTAAGTAATGTTAAACGAGGCTACCTTGTTTTTAAAATAGGCACCCATAACCACAGCAAACCCCAAGCAACAGAGAATATGCTGATGGAAACAACCTAGAGCCAGTCTTTTCCATTTGACTCCTGTGGCAGTATGTGTAACAATAAGCATTGCACCCACCTGTTCAGAACCAGTTTCAGTTTAAGGTCTCACCTGGATGAGCTCAAAGAACTTGGACCTGGGATCCGAGGAGGATGGAGCAACTCGGGCCTGATCTGGAATCTGGAACAAGACAAGGGATCGATTGCAAGTCTTACTCCTTGTTGCACAGTCATGTTTTCAGGGCCTGCACAACCAAGGCTTCTCTGCCATTAAGGACACTCCAACCCTTGACCCTAATGTTCTTTCCATTCATGGTACCAGCCAGGGGGGATGTACACAAAATGCATGTGGCTTGACACAGACACAGCATCTTTCACGGGATATGGCAGGTGATTTAAATAAGGAATGGATTGTAAGCTTTTCAGGACATTCTCACTAACAGACTAGGGAAATAAAGCCTAGATGGAGCTACTATCAGACGAGTACATAACTGGTTGGATAACCATTCCCAGAACACAGTTATCAATGGTTCACAGTCATGCTAGAATGGCATAAGGAGTGGGCACCTGTAGGGATCAGTTCTGGGTCCAGTGCTGTTCATAATTTCATCAAGTATTTAGACAATGGCGCAGAAATCATACTTATAAAGTTTGCGAATGATACCAAGCTGGGAGGGTTTGCAAGTACTTAGACCAATGATGGGCAACCTGTAACCTATAGGGGTTTTGCATGCAGCCTGAGAGACATTTTGTTTACCATTGCCCATGCGCAGGATTGCCAGATTCTGCTAATTTCCTTCCACATAGTTTTTTTCCTGCCAGTGTTACTGAAGTGGCACATACCCAAAGCGAGGGCATGTGAGGAGAGGTGCAGGCTGATTGCACACCACACTGTCTGCTCCCGCTGCATCCAATCAAAGCGCAGCTACAGTTCAATTAGCACACCTCGCAAATTCTAGGTACGCAAGCACAGTTAACAAAACTATCCTATCATGGGAGATCATCTTAGGACAATCTTGCAGCCCACAGATGAAGGAGGGTCACTCATGCAGCCCACTCACTAGCCTAGGTTGCCCATCACTGTCCTTAGGGCAGGACTATAATTCAAAATGATCTGGACAAGCTATAGAAATGGTTTGAGGTAAACAGGATGAAATTCAATAAGGACAAATGCAAAGTACTCCACTTAGGAAGGAACAGTAAGTTGCACACAAACAAAATCGAAAATTACTCTCTAGGAAGGAGTACTGCAGAAAGGGACTTAGGGGTCATAGTGGACCACAAATTAAATATGAATCAACAATGTAACACTGTTGCAAAAACAGCAAACATGATTCTAGGACATATTACCAGGAGTGTTGTAAGTAAGTAACTCTTCCGCTCTACTCTGCACTGATTAAGTCTTAACTGGAGTGCTGTGTCCAGTTCTGGGCGCCACATTTCAGACAAGATGTGGACAAATTGGATGAAGTCCAAAGAAGATCAACAAAAATGATTAAAGGACTAGAAAACGAACTATAAGGAAAGACTGAAAGAACTGGCTTTGTTTAGTCTGGAAAAGAGAAGACTGAGAGGGGACATGATAGCTGTTTTCAAGTACCTAAAAGGCTGTTACAAGGAGAAGGGAGAAAAATTATTCTCCTTAACTTCTGATGACAGGACAAGAAGCAATGGGCTTAAACTGCAACAAGGGAGGTTTAGACATCTGGACATTAGAAAAAGCTCCCTGTCAGGGTGGTTAATCACTAGAATAAATTGCCTAGGATGGTTATGAAATCTCCATTATTGGAATAGTGATAGAAATGTAGCCGTGTTAGTCTGGGGTAGCTGAAGCAAAATGCAAGACAATGTAGCACTTTAAAGACTAACAAGATGGTTTATTAGATGATGAGCTTTCGGGTCTGGCCCACGAAAGCTCATCATCTATTAAACCATCTTGTTAGTCTTTAAAGTGCTACATTGTCCTGCATTTTGCTCCATTATTGGACACTTTTAAGAGCAGGTTAGACTAACACCTATCAGGGATGGTCCAGATTGTGCTTGGTTCTGCCATGAGTGCAAGAAACTGACCTTGATGATTTCTTGAGGTTCCTTTCTGTCCTATGATCATTGCTGCATTTTTTTGGAAAGCACCCAACAGATTTTTATGTGCTGCACACATAAACAATGGGAACATCAGCTCAATACTGTTTCACCGAGTACTCGTGATTAGCCCGTGGAACTCATTGCAACAATATCCTTCAACACTAGGCTCATAGGGAAGACAGGCTGCAACTAGTGATTAAGATTTTTTGAGTGTTTTTCTGCTAGGGACCTACTGGCCACATAGCTTATTCATTGTGTTATACTTTCAGCTGCAGCATAACACTGCCCCTCTGCATAATCAATGGCCTGCTCCACAAACAATACATAATGAGCAGCTGTTTAGGTGACTTTTCCTAGCCCAAAATGTGCACAGTAATCTCACCTATTAACATAGTCCGGCCCTATAGGAAAGGTATTAACGTTACTGGCTGGAGTGCCAGAGCTCCTCCCACGCCCTACTGTGCCACAGTAGGAATGGAATCCACAACTGCATGACTCACCCCCCACAGCCGGAGGCACTCCTTTCGAATGTCAGCCTGCCGTGGCTCACTCAGGGTCCTAGAGGAAAATTCAGCAGGTTGTTAACACAGTGAAAGCCTCTTTGGTCTTGCAACCCTAACAACCTGTCAGCCTCCATGGAGCAGCTTCTTTGGGAATGAAACACAATGTGATCAGTGGAAGCCCTTTCCCCAATTACCCACCCACTTCACAATCTGAACCAAAGATCAGCAGCCTCTCCCTGCCTCACAGCAGAGCTGATCTCTGGCAGCTGCAGGGGAAGTGTCTATTGCCAGGACTTCAGGACTTTTATGAAACATTACTACACTGTTAGGATGGTAGCTTTTTACAGGGCTGCACTAACAAAAACTTATTCTTCCCCACAATTGCCTGAAGAGGGGAGCAGTGTCTCTAGTTTACACAAAGAAACAGCAGTACAGAGGTATGCAGTGATTTGCTGAAGGCTAACCAAGTTACTGTCAGAACCAGGGTTCGGCTCCCCTGAGGACCCTGGCTCCCAGCCCTGTGCTGTTTCTGGATGGTGCTTGAGCAGTAAGTGCAACTACCTCTGTGTATCAAACAACTATTTTCTATAATGTGTTTCACTCCTTGTGCCAATCCTCTGTTCATGTCCCTTCTCAGAAATGGGCCCATTTATGGGCCCTAGAAGGTAGGTAGCCCTTTTGCAAGCCCAGTAGAGAGGATCCTAGTAGCAGTTACAAATTATTTCAAGCCAATCAGTCTCCTTTAGCTATCTCCGTGTTTCAGAGAGCAGAGAACAGCACATATGGTGACACTAGCTAGCCTGTAACTGTATGGGCTACTAAGATGCCTGCTTCAGGGACAAGCCAAGTCCCAGCTTGGGCCAGGAAGAGCATTAAAATGGATAAAGCATACAGGTCAGTGAACACAGCCCATAATTCAGTCCTCTCCCGAAGCTCCCGCTTCTTGAGGTAGATACTCACGTGTCTTGAACAAAGGCGTGAATTTTTGCTAGTGCTTTGATCTGAACTTTACAGTGGCTGCAAGAGAAAGTGGGTTTCAGTCATGGAGCAAATTATCCATCATGCAAATTGTCCTGCTGCACAAAGCAGGCTGAACAAGTCCTGTGCACCAGAAGCAAGCGCCCCTGCTTTAAAACAGACCTGGACTGTCCCAACTAAGGATGTTCAGTAGCGATTAATTTACTAATCAAGTAGTCGATGGAATTTCCATCATCTAATCATTAAGGAAGGGTGCTTAAAGTGCTCACTTCCAACTCAGGCTGCATCTGAGCACAACTCCCGGCTGCTGCTCTGCACTCTTAAACTGACAGCCGGTGTGCAAAGATACTGGCTCATTATCTGGTCCCCTGCAGGGTCTCAGAACAACCCTTATGCTGCCACTCTGCATTTTTAAAGGGACACAGCAGCAGTAGCTGGCTTGTGCTGAGACAGACAAGCAGACGGGGGGAGGGGGAGTGATCAAGTAGTCTATAATACTACCTGATAAGCTCCTGCTTATCGGGTAGTCAACTACTCCTCCACATCCCTAGTCACAACCCAGAATGCCACTACGAGGACTGCAGGGTCACTGGGAAGCACACCCTTTTATGTTCCTGACACTGCAGGTCAGTTCTTCCAACGTGAACACTCACCAGCCATGCAGTGTATCTCCCCTTGCTGGGCCTGTCTGCTGCACAGGTCTCTCCAAGAGCAGGACTCTTGTAACTGAGCGGTTTGGCAGCTCAGGGAGAAAGGGTACCCAAGCCTCAGTCACATCTGAACCTGACCTATTTGCTGGAACCAGCTTTCCTCCTTCTTGCTTCTGCACTCACCTTTCATTTGACTGGACCATGAAGTCATAAAACTCATGGTCACCCTTAATCACTTCCATGGGAACAACAAGATTTACATCCAGGTCAGAGTTGCGCAGCTGGTTGAGTTTGATGTTCACCATGAAGAGGTATTCCCGCACATCATCGATGCCTGACTTCAGCCCTCTACACACGACATACCTGCAAAGCAAACCAGAGATTCCACTTGGAATCAGTCCTCCTACATATCCAACTTTTCTTTCACACACATTCCCCCACCTCCCAAGACCACCCCTCTGGCTTCCCCATGTCAGGAACTTCTCTGCCCCAGAGCACCTATGGCTCACGGAAGTGCAGGCAAGCCCACTGCAGGGCTATAATACTTCCTTCCCCTTTTCCTACTCTGCAAGAGTTGATCTCAATCCTTTCCCAAAACCCCTCAAATTTCACAAGCTCAGTTCTTTAAAGAAATAGGCCCACAGAGCTAATGCTAAAATACAGTCAGTTTTAATCCTATTCCAAATGCAGGTGTAATCAGCCAATGACTAGCTCACAACTCTACCATTTTGGTATGGCAGTGAAAGTGGCTGGCACTGGAAGGTAAAGCTTCCCTGTACAGGCTCAAATGTCTGTCTCACTTTATTTCACAGCACACTTTGCATCTGAATGACACCAAAAACATCGAGGCCCTTCAAAAGTTCAGAGAATAGGACTGGGTCTCTGGACACCTGGCTCCTAATGAGGACTCTGGCATGGAATTTATATTTTCCCCAGCTCCTAGATAGCTGAGTATAAAACAGATGAAGGAGGCAAAAAGATACAGGTTTCCGGAGGATATTGGAGAGAGAGAGAGGTCAGATAAAGTGCAGAGATCAAGGGGGGATGTTCTCAGATGATGGAAGTTACGAAGGCTCCGAAACTAACAATGGGGAAATGGTGTGAAGCCACAGAGGTGCTACTTAAATAAAGATTTTCTGTGTTGACATTAATGTTCCCTTGGCATGTCTTGTGAGAATTCTGGTACTGGAAAGTTTATCTTTCTATCCCTGTTGTGGGGTGTGCTGTATGTGTTGTCTGGCTGTTGTGCTCCTCCCCAGAGATGGCTACATTTAAGGTGTGCCACATGTACAACCTGTACAGCATTATGGGATCCACAGAGTTGAAAATATACCACTTTAATGTACATAACATGCCCTAGCTTAGCTAGGTACTTAGTTTGCATCTTGCAAAATAGAACATATTTTACATTGAACTCCATTGTTCTCATATTGGAAGTAGACAGCCCAGGCAGAAAAAGACTATGGCAATTTGGCAAATAGTCTCTTAAACCTGACAAACACTTCATTTTCTAAGCATTTAAAGCAGGGCTACTCAACGCGCAGCCTGTGGGCCGCCTGCAGCCAGCAGCCTGTTTGTTTGCGGCCTGCGAGGTGGTTTGGGTTTATGCAGGGCTCAACACGCGGCCCGTGGGTAGGATCCTTTGAACATGGCCTCCATTGGGAACATGCTCCAAAATGGCGAGTCAGTATAAAGGTCTTCTGTTGAGATGCGTTTTAGTAGTTAAATTCCTGGACTGTCATTGCCCCTTAAGTGCTGTCATATGGGTGGAAATCAGGTAAATATTGCATTTTATTAAAAGCAGAAGTGACTTAAATGGGGCCTGTGTGTTGTGTAGTCTTGCCTTAATCATTGTATTCATGCCTGTCACTGTGAAAGAAGCTATTTGCATATATTTGCATGTACATGCAACCACACTTAGGTTGCAGCCTTCAGCATATGCTGTGAATATCACTGTGGCTCCCGGGGCTTCCAAATTTGAGTAGCCCCGATTTAAAGTATTTCATTTTATGAGACAGATAAGACAGGTCATGGAGTTTACACTAAACTTGCAGTTACACAAATCTAGCTATTGCAGTTTTCAGGGGAAAGGGCTGTTTTATTCTTCTTCTAGGATCTCACCTCTCTGAGTTAGCAGGACGGCTCGTCACAGGTTTAAAGAGACTCACTCGCTCAAAGCAGCAGTACAGCAAATATATAAGCCCCACGCTAAATGGCGTGAACAAGTCAAAGGTTTTGCAGATAAAGTGTCCTCCTGTGGCAGCAAAGGAAATACATTGCAGGCAGGTTATAAGGGAAGAGGGGAAAAATACAGATCTCTCAATCGCCTGCGCCCACCCATGCACACACCCACAAGTACATTTTTGTAGAGTTAAACTGCATCAAAAAAACACTTACATAAATCAGTCTAAGAAGATGTACTATGTGGGTACCACATACCATCCCTTCACTTAGCTCCTCGCCTCCCAAAGACCCAGGAAAGGAAGAGGCAGCTTGCAGGCAGATGGAGGGGATGTCACTAAGAACAAAGCACTCTGTGTGGTGCTTCCACAGCGCTCCCCACCTAGGGGCCCAGACCTCTGGCCCAGCAGCACACTGTGTGCAGTCCTTGACAGAGCACAGCTCTCATCCTTCCAAGAGCCTCATGCTGGGGGAAAGGCTGGATTTGAAATTAAAATCTTTTAAAACACATCTCAGTAGAGGAGCGTCTGAGCCCTTTGCCTTCAAGTGAGTCTCCTCACTCCCTCAGGGACAGACTGAAGCACTCAGCTTTGTGACTTTCATTCCCACAGGAGATGCTTGAATAGGTAAGACACAAAGAAGGCCACTCTTTACAATATCAATGAGAGGCAACTGCCTGCTGGGTCAGAGCTTCAAATACCTGGGAGCCCTGAGGACAAGAGAAGCAAGCGCTTGGTGAGCATTTCTAACCACTTTCACTCTGACTTCTCAGTGCAGGACCAGCTGCTTTGGAAGGGCACACTGAACACTCACCGATCCTGGCACAGGGTAAGAATCACCAAAGGACGGACCGCAATGCCAGCCCTCGCTATCTATTTAGTCATAGATCAGGCAATCCCAGCACAAGTTCTCCCCCTCCCTCTGCCCCACACATATCGACCCTGACAAGGGTGGTCCAAACTGGGAGGGAAAGGGGGAGGAGCGCAGAGGAACAAGCTGGCAGTAGGAAAAAGGGAAACAGCGCCTCATTCTGAAGCCAGGGTGATGGCTTCTCATGGGAGAGGCCACAAATCAGAACTTCTCAAAAGCTGGGCTGCTTCTACCAGCCAATTGGCTTGCTCAGGAAGAGGCTGCATTAGCCAGTAATGTATAAGAATCAACAGAAAAGTAGGGATTTTACTTAGATGTTTTGCTCCTTCTCCAGCTGGAGGGACCACAGCAATGGCACAGCAAGGTTTCCTGAAATCTCTGGCAACCTTCTCTGAGGGACTAGGGGAACACATGTATTACATTCAATAGAATGACTCCATGCAATGTTCTATAGCATCCATCTGGAAAGAAGGGGGAGAAAAAAGAAAAGATACCTGTCCGGATGATAGAGAGTCCTGTAAGGAACTGGCAAAGCAACAACTGTTTGCTTAGAATTTCCTGCAGGTTCTCCTGACCCTCCACAGAGAAACCCTGAAACACACATCAAATGACAAATGCCTTCACAAATCTGTTGCTTAAATGGGGGAATCTTATAGGTGTTTATAGCTACGTTTTGTGATTTGCAATCATTTCTATGTCCTGGGATAAACTGCTGCTGTCAGGAGATTTCACAGAGAGCCTCTCCAAACCTCAGGCAGTAACTGTGAAAGGGCATCCCGCCTCTGTGGCCACCCATTGCAGAGAAAAGGAGGAATGAACGCACCCCATCTGCCATTAAGAAATGCACCCCCTTGCGATCGGTGTTGTCCAAAACAAAATTTCGGAATGCAGTGATGTTTTCTGGGCGGGTGATGTCTCCATCTCCGTCAATCCCACCCTCTCCTAAGGGGAAAAGAAAAGGCATTTGTAAGAGTGATTGCAGAGCGCTTGCAAGAGACCAGGACATGCAGGTGATCAATGGTCTCACCTTCAATGAGCTAACATTAGAGATGTAAACCACTGTTTAATTGGCTAGCCAGTTAAACCTATTGCTTAAACCAGTTAAGGAGGGGATGAGTGGGGAGCCCGCCTGCCTGCCACTGGGCTGGAGCGCCCCCTCTGCCACCGCTCCTGTCCACAGTGCCCCCTCACTGGTTAACCTTAAGGGAAAGGTTACCAGTTAACTAGTTAAACCGTCACATCCCTAGCTAACATTACCAACAATCAGTCTGCGAGTGCACAAATGCTAGAAGCTGCCTCAGCACCACTTTCAAGAGCTCTCTCATACATGAGCCTTGCTCAGCAATTTTCTTTGGCCAGATTTGGTTCTGCTTACATTCGTTGGACTGTGATTCTCTGGTTTTAAAAAAATGTGTGTCAGCTTTGGTAAAGCACAAATTGTTCCCTCCTCTCGCTTCCCAACAGGGCCGGACTATGCCACATCTTTCTGTCCAGGAAGAAACGAAACAATTCCTCCTCTACTGTAAGAATGGCTCTGAGATGGTTATCATGAACAGATCTCTTGATCCCCAACACCAACAGTTTATCAGTCCTCCACCTACTCTGAAGTTGAACCTCTGTAATGCAGGCAACGTCATACACACACGCACAACTCGTACCGTAATAAGGCTCAAAGAGCTCACTGGAGGCAGAATAAAAATCTTCCAGTTTAAAGTCATTTGGTCCTTTCAAGGTCATGCCGAACCCCTTTGCGTGCCACTTCTTCCTCCAGAGCACATACTCTGAGAAGCCCCCGGGGCCGGCGCACACATCAGCAAAGTAAAGCAGCTCTGCATCCCGTTCCTTTATTAGGGGCTTCTGCAAAAGGAAATTGGAAAATTCGAAGAGTCCAGTAGCAACGTCCCACCAAGCAAGCAAATGACAGCAGCCTGTTGCTAGGCTCCTGCCCTCCATACCAGGAGTTCTGTCTTTTTAAAACAGCCTTTGTCCCTAATGGTGCCATGAGGGATCTTCCCTCCTCCTCCCCCCTCCCATTTCCCTTTCCTTTGGAGAATCATCACTGATTCAAAAGGACAAGAGAGACCCTCACCCCATGAGAGTCCTTCGGGTTCGTGAACATGTGGTCGAAGACATAGTCCATGTTCGCCATCTTCATCGCCGCTCTGCAAAGGCACAAAAAAGGCACCCATTAATTTACCCCAGGCTCACCAGGCTGCTGCACCCAAAAGAGAAAGGCCCTGCAAACCCTGAGGCCCTGCAGACCTGTTCAGGAAGAAGACTCCCCGGATCATCTCGTAGGGGTTGGACCTTGTCCGGGCTCGACGCATCTCCTCTCCATCCAGCTCATCAAACACACTCTGCAAAGGCAGAACCACAGCTACACTAGCCATGACACAGGCAGGAGGGACAGCTCGCTCCAGAGGTTCCAACCCCATGGTGAGTTCCTCCCCACAGGTCTCTGTGTTGGGTCATGAGTGGGTGACACCAACACAGGAACATTCACTGAAGCTGGCACCTAGCTTTGTCCAATCCTGGTCCCACTCTGTGCTCACTTCTTACACTGAGGGGCAATAGTGCTGGTTTGACAACTCCACAGCGTAAGGCCTAGTTAGCCATAGATCAGGCAATCCCAGCACAAGATCACTCCCTTCCTCCCACATGACCATCCTGATAAGGGTGGTCTAAACTGGGAAGGAACAGGGATTAGCACAAAGGAACAAAGAGTTGATCTCCACAGTCCATTTAGTCTCTGGCTTTTCTGCTGACACTGCCGGTGAAGGTGCTGTTATGTCAACTGCCGCTGCGGTTTTTGTGATGTACATGCTTGTCGTTTCACACATTTCAAAGGGCCAGGCAGTAACAACCTCCCACTGTTACCAACCCAGGCTAAACCTGCGCTGGGGGCAAAAGGTATCCTATTTCATTACCAACTGCCTACGCTTCCCAATCCCTCCAGTGCCTTTTTACAAGCTCTCTTCCCTTCTCCTCCCCGCCTTTCAATGACTTGCTAGCAGAATGCACTCACCTTGCACTGCAGGACACTGTGCAGAAGCTCTTCGTGACAGAATTCTGTTTCATCTTCAATCACCATCTTCCTCTAGGGCAGAGCAATGAGAAACCCCACCCCCTTCTGTTAGCAGATGCTGTGCCTCTTATTATAATGGGGCACTTCCCAGAACAAGCCTCTGTGCTGACATGCTGCAAGTGAGAAAGCCAGGCTGACACTGGGAGTAGTGTCAAGCAGTTTGCCCTCCGTGGGAGGTGAATGTGGATCCCAGAAGCACTCCCCATGCTGGCTGACCCAGCTGAGGGAAGCATACAGCCCTGAACTGTCTCCAGCCCTGCCCACCCCTCCAAGGAGCAAGGAAAAGGGGAAGAAAAGGATATTGTATCAAACACTGTCACAGAGCACAACAAAGAGAGTAGTGAAATCCAGGCGCCATCTTGTGAAGTCTATATCAATGGCAGCGATACATAATGATGGGATAATTCAACTTGACAATGCAAACATCACATTATCATCAGACTGGGACTGCTCTGGCCCTCATCCCCATAATATCTGAGGCTCTCTGCAGCTCTGTTCCAAAACAAAGCAGCATGTCAGCTCCACAAGGCTGAGCACCATCAGTCTAAACAAAAGGAGGAACTACTGGGACTTTGCTTTTCAGACTTATACCTTCCCCACGGTCATCCAATTCTTCATCTCGTGGGCATCTGGGATTTCAGTGGTGCATTCTGGGAACCAGCTCACCTGTTCAAAGGCACCAGCCTGCTAAATGTAAGATAGGAGGAGTCAAAAGAGGCTCATACTTTTTCTCAGAACCTAACACCCTAATAATTGCCTAACACCCTAATAATTGCAGTTGGGCATCCCAACCCCATCACAATCTTTACATGGTAGGCTTTATCCCAGGAGTCTTAGGGCAAAATAACCAACATTCTTCCTAATGCAACCCACTAATCACAAATAATTTTAGTAGGACAGACTGCTGACAATATCAAGAAATAAAACAGCTGAAACACACCACCCCAAAGAGGTTCATTTCAGAGACACAGCAGGGGAGATGCCTGTATGGCAAACTGTTACTTCCTACAGGTGCGTAACATATATGCTCTCCACACTCCACTCTCTGAATGGGCCTCTGGCTGGAAACAGCTCCCACCAACATTTTACAATCTCAAGAGGAAATCATTTGGACTGTGGGGTAAGACTAAAATAACTCTAATTCTCCAGGAAAAGGAGCTGCACCCTGCTTGCTTTGATACTGGATTTGTATTACTGTAGTACCCAGAACCCCTAGTAGTGATTAAGGCTTCACTGTGCTGAGTGCAGTATGTAAGTAAGGCAGAGCGCCAGACCCCTCACAACCTACATAAATCGTAACTATCATGTGCACTCAACTTTGGATTTTTACCAGATACTGTATGTACCAGATATTTTACATAGCATATTAGCATATTATCTGTCACTTCTGGGATGCTGATCAAGGGCTTATTTTCATGTAACAACCTGTCTGTCCTTCCCAAATTTCCAACATGCTAAAGGACCTGAGAGGATGCAAGAACATGGTGCCTTTACGTTTCCTGTAGAACATGCTAGTAAACACCCCTGGAAAAGATACTAATTATCAGCTATATGGGAATGAATTTTTACCATAAAAGTTCTCGCCGCCTGCCTCCCGGACCCTTACACTAGGGTTTCAATGTGTAGTTGACTATACAATTAACTGATAAGCCTGTGCTTATTGGTTAATCTTGTCGACTACACATTTCCCCCCCCCCCTTTGTAGAACATGCTAGTAAACACCCCTGGAAAAGATACTAATTATCAGCTATATGGGAATGAATTTTTACCATAAAAGTTCTCGCCGCCTGCCTCCCGGACCCTTACACTAGGGTTTCAATGTGTAGTTGACTATACAATTAACTGATAAGCCTGTGCTTATTGGTTAATCTTGTCGACTACACATTTCCCCCCCCCCCTTGCGCCCGGGGGGC